CAGTAGCACTGGAGGTCCCCAGGAATTAGTGTCAATTCAGAGCCAGTGTCCACTGATTCCTGAAAGTATTCCATTTTCCCCCATTGCACCATCACTCTAGTAATGGCTGCAGATCCCTTTAAGGAGTGCTTGGAGGAAGATTTACAGTATATACTTGAGGCAAAGATGCAAGACCCTTCCTTAAGGTGACCTACCCTCCATTTCAATCACGGGACTCCAAATCTGTGAATTGGCTTAGGTTTGGAAACTGGGTAAAATTCCATGACTCTCCACTTTGGTGACTCAAGTTAGATGTTTGGCTACCAGTCCTAGAGTTTTTCCTGTTATATAGGTCAAACAATGCTCTAGTAGGCTATCCATCTATTTTATTCTTGGGAATACGATGATCAATTAGTTACCACCAAAGATTTCTGCAGACCAAGGCATTCTGATTATTGGTACATCTTGCTCCTTCTATAGTAGACGTGCCCACATTGTCTTTGATGGTTAAATGCTGACCATTGTCTCTGTTACTCTGTAATACATCATCCCCATTGAAATCAGGAAACCCATTTAAATGGAGGCAGCTCCTACAGTCATACTTGACCTACAAAGGATAGTAACTACAAAGCTCTTCAAGGATTTAGGTGCTCCCCTCACTTATGTATTTCTCAATGCCATAATGCAGGAGTTTCTTCTGGATCTTTTCATGGACGAGGATAGTTGGGGGTGCTCAGTTTGCACTAGATCCTATCCAAAATTCTTAATTTTCTAAGCCTTTTGATTGCTTCCTCTACCGAATGCTTGGAAAACTAAGGCATCTCAATCTCATTAAATAAGTTTCCATCCACCAACCAGGTAAGCTATTGGGATGCTCTTCCATATGGATGAGCTAACACAATATATATGGACTTTTTATAAATGAATTCTGCCTGGTCTATTGTAACACTCCATCCTCCTTGGCCCAGCATGCTTAAAATTCACCCCTACTCGTGTTCCCCAGGTTTTTGTTGATATGTATTAGCAAAGTCTTGGAATTCTTTTGCATGTAGTTTCTCCCGGGTGCTAGTGTGTACTTGTCTCTCTGGAGCATGCTGAGATTTCATACTGATTATGGGTCGAGTGGCCCTAGAAGGTGCTTTGATTGGGTCTTGAGGAGAATAGGTATTCCTTTCAAGTCATCTGCCCTGGCAAGGTAATCACAAGGTTTACAAGCATGGAAGGCTAGTTTCCTCAGATGCAGGAGGGAACGCTACTTCCATTAGTAAGAGAAGTTCAGCTTGACTTTGGGGTTCAAGATTTTCAGTTTTATCTGAGCCCAACTATGTTGACCCCATTTTATGTTTCAGTATCCCATTCCTTCCCAATCAATGCCCTACCTGTCACCTGAGAATCTGAGAGATTAAACTGTCATTATAATTCAGGAACCTGCAAAATTAAATTCTGTTTGATTTTCAGCAATATCAAGCCTATAGGCAAAAGAATTGAAAGAATTTTTTAAGGCTGTCATGGAAACTCTTAGGTTCTCAGAGTGTTATTTGAGCAGAGAAGTAAAGTACCTGAGTTTATTGGTTGTTGTCTTTGGGGTTTTTTTGTTTTCTTTTCTATTGTTTTTTCTGTAAGTGTTTAAGAGCACTTAAGAAATCCATCCCACACCATAGTCTTTATAATCGTTGTTACTGTCATAATGGTCAACTGTAGCAGCCACTTGGGCTCTGTAAAAATGGCATGAGGAAAGTGTGTGACCTCCTCTAACTTCACTTGAGGAAAGGAGAATCAAAATCAACAGCCCAACGTTGATCCCAATGAGGTGGAGGTCAGACATGCTTCCTCTCTCCACCATCTTTACCAAATGTGACACCAACCATCCCACCCATGGCACCTTCTACTTCTCTGCTGGGTTTGACAATTCATTGCAAAGGCCACACAGAACTCACAGACAATACTCATGATTATGAGGTTTATTAGAGAAGTAATAGGTTACAATTCAGGTTGAGGAATGCTCAAGATACAGTTCTTCTATGAGGACAGCCCCATCCTAGCCCTGCTTGCAGGCCTCTTCCTGGCCCTGAGCCTCTGCCCTGCTGAGGCAAATGTTACAAAGCTCTTTTAGCTCAGTCAGTAAATGCCCAGAGGCACCCCACTCCACCAGTAAGCCTTGGCCCAAAGGCATTCAGATTTCTCGCTCCGTGGGCTGGGAAACCCACCACACCATCTCCTGCCATCATTTCTCTGCCACCGCTTCTCGAGCTCTCTCTCTGTCTCCTGGTTCCAGGAGTTTCTCAGTGCAGGGATCTCGGGTCCAAAGGACACTCTCTCCACTTCTGGCTGCTCTTCACTGGTGGTGGTAGGATCTTCTCTCTCCCGCCTCTGGATGGCTCACCTCAAGCCCAGCAGGATGGCAAAACTGACCAATCCCAATGCCAAAGCAGACTACTAACACACATGCTTCAGTTGACACTTTATCATAGACAACCACAGGTGAAAGCTTGATTAATTTTGATAGCACTGCATGACGTGGGTATGAGCATCCTGTTTCCCATTTTACAAGGGCACAGCATTGCATTTAAACCCAAAGATAATGACCAAAAGAACCCCAAATCCCATCTTACCATTCTATCTCTTGGAACCATACCACTTCTAGTACCAATTCTGTATCAGTCAGCGTACAACTAGGAGGCCAAAAGCACATAGTAATTTGAACATGAGAAGGTTAATAGAAATAATTATTAACTGTAACAGATGATTGGAGCAACAAGGGATTGGCTAGGAAGAAATAGAGAGCTCTAAAGAATGTAAGAATCACATACGTAAGGAACAGCCACTACGTCTAGGGTTGAGATCAAGATCTCATTGAAGAGAATATAGTCATGGCTCACTGGAGAACAGAAAGGGACTCAGCTCGGCTGGGCGCAGACTCCTGACCCACAGAAACTGCGAATAATAAATTTTTGTTGTTTAAGCCACTGAGTTTGCGGTAATGTTGTTACACAGCAATAGATAATTAATGCACCCTTCCATCAAAGCTGCTTGCATATTACCTATGGATCATGATGTGTGTTCATGCAACCTAGAAGCTGTATCTAAATTGCCTGTATGGCAGTGACGTCACTACGGTTAGTGTCACCCCATGTGGCAACTCATGGTGTCACCCCCCCATGGGTCTCCTCCCATACTAGAATCCTTAGTAATGTTTTTTGTACTAATGTTACTCCTAAATCGTAATTCCGGTATATCGCTCCTTTTTTCCTTTTAATTACAACTTCATTTTCAAAAAAGTTATTGATACAGGGTCACAAATACTAATTACCCAACATTGTAGCTAAAAGACCAGAAATTTTGACAAAATCAGTGACTGTAAAAACACAGGCAACAATGAAAACAACGGCACCTGCTTGTAGTGCATGCAGACAAAACCATGTGATTTGAAGCATCATTGTAGTGGGTAATAATGACAGCTCTGACTGGAGGGCATTAGAAAGTTCAAAAAGTAAATTAGCATAGTGTTTTAGCCTTGTAGGTATATTGCTACGTGTGAGCTGGGCTTACAAAAAATGTTTTTGTTGTTATAGCTAACTACATGGTTATTTTTATAAATAACGATAAATTTCTACGGTAACACTGCACAAAAATTTTATAGACGGTCATTTTGGTGCTGTCCCCCTCGGAGAGTGTCAACCAGTGTGGTCTGCATGCCCCGCACTCGCCTTGTGACACCACTGCTTTATGTATACCTGCCCCGTTTGCAAGGAACCAAGACACTCCACCAGTCAGAAGTGAGGTTCTTGACATCCAGAGAGGCTTTGGTTGCGTAGAAAGGAGACACCCCAGCTTCAGCACTTGGGTGGGACTAATCAGCAGGAAGTCCCACTGCTATTATAGGTATGTATAGCAAACATGGACCCCAATGCAAAAACTAATGTGGATTACCCTCTGCATGCAATGCAAAGATTCCCTTCACCTTCCCTGTGAACCGCGAAAGTGGCAATGGCTGAGCAAAGGCAAGGTTATTTAGGAAAGAGGGAACAATATATGGCTCACCAAAGAAAGAAGGCTCACACCTTACCCCCCTAGCAAATACAATTCCCATAGCCCAGATGGTATCCAGAGATCCCAAGACAGACCTGGCTCTGAGAAACTGCCTCTTGATAGCCAGTGATTAGCTTTTGGAATTCAGTTTAAAGATATGAGTTTAGGCAAAGCTCACAGTCACCCAGAGCCTGCTCTTTTCCCCCATTCCCTCCCTCCTACCTCTTCCGCTGTCTCTCTCTTTCCCATTATCTTCT